CTCGTTCGCTACTAGCATAATGCACATATAAGTTAAAATATGCGAACATGACAGTAATTGGTCAGGAACTTTCATAGGAAAACGGGAGGCTTAACAAAATAAAGATTACATCTGATCACCTTGATTTAGTTAAGGTTTTCCGTGACATTCCTAATTTCTTGTTTTCTTACGTCCTTCGTAATGTTTCGGTTTGTCATTTCCCCTGCGTCTTGCCTGCCAAGTAACTTACATTCATGTAGTGATGAAGACTTGTTTGCAACACCTGACGCATATGCAGGGTCCGTTACATGAGTGGATTGAAATGATGGTTTGTTTCGTATATCATGAGCATAGCAGCCCATTTGTTTGTTTTGTTTTGTTTTACCTTAATGCTAAGAAGGCATGTGTATGCTTGTAAATAAGCAACCAGGGGACCGACGGCTTTAAATCCTCTCCAAGGGACTAGGTAATGAGGATAAATGCCTTACCAAAGGGCACTAGCTTACGACTTGGTGTCAAACCTGGGCCCTCCCAGTTACGAGACCACTGCTCTACCACTGAACCAGCACGCCATTGGCTGAACTGAATTAAAATCACTTGACATGCATTATTAATATGCTATATTAAACACGACTGCCCATAACATGGATGATTAAAAATAATGTTGGATTTAAACAATTGAAAATATAATAAAGTAGATTATTATTTATTGGTTTGGTTTAGTCAATAGTTTAGAAATTGATTCAAATAAGTAAATATGTGACTTTAAACTGAAGAACAAAAGAAGCCTGAACACGGTAGTACGAATTGTTTTAAAAGGAAAAGTAAGTGCCACGGGTATGACTAAGAACAAAGTCAAATATTATTGTGCAATGTGCAATGTCAGATAAATTCGTGAAGAAGAAAAAAAGAAAGAAACATCAGCATATATTTAAGAAACAGAGCCATTCGCTTTGTCTTACAAGTGAGTAGGTTTTTTTTTCTTCGAGTTACGTGCCTGGATTTTCCTAGAATTCGATACACCTTGTTACGCCTATTGGGAATCATCCACCCCTATACAACAATATAACTAAACTGTATTTGCAAAATAAGGCAGGTATATCTCATGAGTCAGGTGACCAAAGTTTCCTCTTGAGGGAGAAACAGAGGTAAGTCATGGGTATCACACCACATTGCTCATACCTTAGTCCTGAATACGTCAGAGATATGACTTGGGAGTCCACATACTCATTGCACACAAGGCGTCATTTGTCTGACGTACGAATGCGTCTGCGACTGACGCGGTCTTTGACGCCCCATTGTGAGAGCGACATCGTACAAACAGTTGTAGCGAAATGAACAGGGTATACGCTTGATAAGCCTTGCGTTGGATTATTAGCATATGGACCTATTGCCCTTACATACTCAGACTCTATTGGCGCAACTAATCATGCAATCGAGATGAGGCCTCTTGTTCCAGGGGCATAAGGGATAGCTGTTTAAGCATGGACCTAACACGAATGGACATTCGACGAAGCAGTTCCTTTGATCATGGACCATGGTTTAAGTCACTTGAGTAAAGTTCGATTGTGTTTTTTGTCTATTGTTTTTATTATCAAATCTTTTACACATGGTTATAATCTCTCATAATTAAAGATCAGACATATTTGAGAATGAATAAATTTGTTGATGAAAGTCAAAGGGGGCTACATTGTAGTTTCGGTTAATTTTATCCTTTGAGTTAGAGGGATAACTGAGGAAATAAAAGACCGAAGGCCTGGAGAACTTGCACTTCGATGAATTACAAAGTAGAAGTTGAATAGTAACGACAGGCTGTCTAAAAGAGATAACTTTCTGAAGGTGATTCCTCCATCTGAGAAAATTGGGCATGCTCTTGACAATGTCAAATGTTTTTATTAACAAGATGTCAAACTATGAGATATCAAAAACAGACCACCCAATTTTGGTTTGAAGTTGCTTTCTCGTTATGCAGACCGATTGCCTTGGTTTAACATACATTTACGTGTTTAAATCTATATTTTACGTAACATATGTTTACAAAACTATCAAAAATTGCTTGCCCTCAATTTCAACCTGAACATTTCGATCAATTTTTTTAAATCACGAAACAAGCAATATACTACATTGTGTGTACGTGTCAAAGAACATTTATTCCTTATGTCTTTATTGTAATGACATGTTGTTCAGGCAAAATATTTGAAAAGTAATGTTTGACAACTAGTGTCATCCGCCTCTTGTGACGACATAAATCTCACCGCAGGGCAGGATTGAAACATATAAACTGGATCTTAGAAAACAATTTTGGTTTGATATGCCTCCCAATCAAAGCGAGAGAGCTCTTCGTAATTTCCCACGAATCCGTCTGCCCTAAATATTTTGGAATCTTTTCTTCGCGCCAATTCAAATATTAGGTCAAGTAGGTTGATGTTCCGGGCATGCAAGGAGCTACTGTACTTCGCTCATTAAGAGCCTACCATTAAAAAAAAATGGAATTTTTAAGTGATATGATAATTTGTATTTAATGGATTTATATCATATAATTGTGTGATTGAAAAAGAGAAAGTGATATATGTCCAGAAATATTCTACCCTATACGTTTAGAATTTCCATTCAAGGAGGGACTAAATAAATTAAAAATCAAACCTTTTTCAAACTGTTCATTTTCGTAATCTGAGAACTAAAAAATAAAAGCTTAATTTCAATTTAAGTACGCTCATCATCCTTTTGAATTATTTTGCTAACGCTGAAAAACTAGGGGAAAAATTAATTAATACATTCGTATTAATTCAGTACCTGCAGGAATAAAAACTAGGAAAATAAGATGATGAACAAGAAGAAAATAGGAACAGGAAGAAGAAGAAGAAGATGTACAAGAAGAAGAAGAAGAAGCTGAAGAATAAGAAAAAGATGATATCAAAGAAGAAGAAGGAATAAAAGAAGAAGAAGAAGCTGAAGAATAAGAAAAAGATGATATCAAAGAAGAAGAAGGAATAAAAGAAGAAGAAAAGAAAGGAAAATATGAAGAAGAAGCAAAGAAGGAAATAATTTAGGGTTAAGATAAAGTCAGAGGGCGAAATTATACTAGGTCTCTCACCTCGCAATGAACTTGTGGGAGTCCTAGATTTCAATTCTGAAATTATAAAAAGAAGTACACAGACACAGGTTTCGATGCATAATACTAATCCACCCTTTATCTCTTTATCATAAAAGATTTTCGTTATAATGACTCTTTTCACACCTGTATTGCCTCGCAGTTTCAATCCGGATTATAAACTTGGTCTCGATGATCAATATAAATATTAGTGTTTGGTGTGAGCACAAGAAATATCAGAAAAAACATAATCATGTTAATCCGTTTATGTTTTGAATTACGACCCATTTAAAGTTATATCTTCGCCTACAGCCGTCACTTAATCCAAGCAAAAGATCTTATCTAAATACCTATGCACCGATCCTCCACAATCTACCCTCCCCATCCCCCTGCCCTAGATTCAGAGTTATACCTTTATTCTTACCTGGACCGTGCCTTAAAGAGAAAATACCACTTTGATCGGATTACCTAGATGTGTATCATTGTGTAGCTCATTGGCTTAGAATCATTTTATTGTATTGGGTGAGACCTAAATTGGCACTGTGCATTTCGAGATAAAAGCAATTGACTTCGTGACTTCCTAATCTGCGACCATGCACTTTGTAATCCCAGTCAGGTCGTAATAAGTTGCTTTATAAATAGTCATATTCTAATCTGGGATATTTACGATCATTATCTTTCCATTTTATTAACCAAATACATCGGTACTTATCATTAAGTATTGAGTAATACTTCTGTGTAATTAATCGAATGAAGAGTTTGTTCATATACCCCCCCCCCCCCCCAAAAAAAAAAAAAAAAAAAAAAAAAAAATCTATTGACCATGTTGACTTGTTGACGCGTCTTGTAAAATTTTGAAGTCACCCCGAAGTATCAAATTCGTTTTAAGCCACTGAAAATGGCAAAGAAAATCAACGTCATTGCTATCAATAGAGAAGGAAAATATACAGAGTAGGCCTATAATTTACATGCAACAAAATTCCAACTGAAAAGAGGTATTTAAAAGAAATTACAAAATAAGTCAAGGCTATGACTGAAATGAACATGATGCAAGTAGGTAGTACACGTCAGCAAACAAGCCTTATATGAACAAAAATTGCGTTCACATCTGATTAACAGAGGCAGAGAACCGTACAATTCAAATGATATTATAACGATGTATTCAGTCCTGAACTGAACTTTTTCTTTAACGTTTTTCCAGTTTAAATGTATTACGAATGTACAATATATGGTCAGGAACAGAGTACACTTTGTTTTATCTCGAGAATCTTTCCAATGTAGAACTTTCAGGATGGCGTATTCTCACGGGTTCATTGTTTTCGGGAAATTTTCGAACTCGTGACGTGCTTCCCTGCTATCTGTAAGAGATAACTTGCGCGTACTTGTTCTTCAGAAAGTGCAAGACTTCAATCTCATTGTTTAGTATATTTTGATAACAGATCTTTTTTTTAATCATGATTCAGCTCACGTATCAAATGGTATATTTGTAAAATCATCCAAACCGTACGAAAACTTATTAATAGAAATCTGTGCGAATCTGTGATTCTGTTTAAACTTTTTTGTAATGTATGCTAGACGTTATTAACAACATTTCATCACTTGTATCTAACTATATATTTATTAGATTATATACTTAGAAATATATCCATGTACCGTTTATTTATGTTTGTTTATCCCTAAACGGCATTTATATAAAAACAATATTTATGTAAACCAATAATTTCTTCCGAAGTTGGTGTAAAACCGCAAATTAAATACATTTTTTCACGTCATTGATTTCTTTTTCGAAAATACCATATGATTATGTTTATTTAGCATTTTTAGTATAATGTTAATTTTGTTGTCATATATACATAATGTTCGGTGATTATAGAATTAAAATATCGAAGTTAAATCTAACTCTATTTCCTTCTTTTTTGTCTATTCACAGGGAGATGCTGGAAGTCCTGCCCCTCAAAGTAAGCCTTTTCTTATATATTTTTTTGTTTAATTTTCTATAACTTGCTGATTTACTTAACGTTTTACGTACTTGATTCGTAAAACATGCAGGGCCCCTACTGCGTGTAAAATCAGCAATTCACTTATCGCGAACGTTTTAAAGAGAGGGGACAGAGACATATACAGTCAGAGGCAATTAGCAGGAATACATAGAATTTTTACTCAAATAAACGGGTGGGGTCCAAATCAAGCATAAAACCATTAAGTCACAATAATTGATAAATATATGAATAAAGTTGATCAAATGAGATTTGCACCGTTTGCGGTTTAAAAACTTGGATCCTTTGACGTCACGTAAGTTGGACAATATTTATAGGGGGAAAACGATTTCAGTTCCTTTGCGAACAGACTGATTGAGCTCTGAAGCCGAGAGTCTACAAATCAAGCATAAATTGATGGAATCATAACATTATTCAGTCACTGAATTGATTTTTTTTTTTAAACTAAATAGTAAATATATCATTTTTTTTAAATGTATTACATTTTTTCATCCTGCTTTCATAGTCATTTACGATCTTGTCATGGTTTATAATATAACAAATCGTGTTCCTGGAACACCATAATAAACAGTAAAAGATACTTATAACAATTGGTGTGGTTTCGTTTTCATCATGATATGCATAACGTTTTAAAATTACACAATTAAATTCATGTTTGGTCTCTTCAAATAAAAAAAATATCCAAATAACAAGTCATCGATGTTTGCCGGAAAGAAAGAAGGCTCTCCCACCACGATTGATAGAACTGCAATGTAATGCTTTCTAATTTTGGTTTTATACGACATGAAGGAAGACCCCAAATTTGACGTGTTATTGAGATGAAACTTGGCACAGCTCTTCGCTGATGTTTAACTCACAGGTTTAAAGGTATAGGCCAGTTTTGGAAACGCCCCCCCCCCCCACCTCTAAAAATGAAATAGAAGCTCCTATTACCAATCATGCGAAAGAATATGTTTTGACTATACGAGATGATACACATTTTGCCGGTAAACCGCCTACTATTTGGTATATTTGATAAATTATCATATCGATCCGGCCTGGACAGATATCGCGAATGCACTTCAACATTGAACATTTGGGGATATATTTCTGCCTTTTTGCAAATTTTTGAAGTATTGCCATCTAAACCTCTGACGGCAATATTTAAACAATATTGAATGCATATTTTGCACCTCAAACCCTTGAATCGCAATTTTACCACTACCGGTCTCTATCTTAAAATCCTTGCATTAAAGCCACGATCTTCAATTGCATGTTTTAACGGGTGATATTTGTTCCTTATAATTTTACCAATATATTAGTATTCCACTCACGACAAGAAGAAGAACAACAACGGAAATAGTAATATTAGGGATATTAATAATGAGGATAATGATGAGGATGATGAAGATGGTGGTATAGTTGTTGATGATGATGATGATAATGATCATGATATGGATAAAATAACTACAGCAGTGATTATTATAACAATAAAAAATAATTGGAATAACACCATATCATCATTGTCAACGCTGATAATGCTATGGTGTCATGTCTGTCAATGTCAAAATTTACCTGATAATGACATTTCTGGCGCGCGGCTGGACACATTACAAAGATTATCTTGAATTTTATCTTTGGCTAAGGTACCCTTTTGGGTAACAGACAACTAATCAAATTACATTTACATCAACCTGGTAGAAAGAGACAATTTTAACAAAAATATTGCATTTTCATATTGAGGTCAAAGATTCGGAGGAAGGGGTATAGGAGGATGGGAGACTTTTGAAGGGATCACTTGTTATTGAAGGGAACTTCGCCTATTTGTCGAGGACCCAAGCCAATTTCCGGCTGGAGTGAAATGCCAAACTCACTACTACGGTATGGTATACGCAAACGACTCGGTGCTTATACTGGCACCGCGATACGCTGCTGCTGACAAAGGCGTAGCGAAATACGAAGGGGGATGAGAGTAGTTGGTACGAGAGGGGGGCTCTGCATTTGCTCTTCTTTTTGTCATTGCCTATTTGTCTCCTTCTTTGTGCAAGATTGGTAAATAAAGTCACGTTTTTAAAAATGTAAATACGGTATATTGAGGACTCCCCTTTTTTCGAGCATAATATATACCTCTTATTTCTAATTACCCCCAAACCGAAAATTAATAGGAAATAAATAAATGAATAAAACAAATAGAAATTAAAGAATAGTGAACAATAATTTAACAGATTTTAAGGAACTTTTTTAACCCCCCCCCCCCCCAAAAAAAAAAAAAAGATGATGAACTTTAAAAATCTATTGAGTGAATTTATAATGGAATCAACTTATTGTGATTGTAGTAGTAATGATAGTGGAAGAGCTGTACAAAACGTGTTGCATTCTGTTGTCAATTTATGTCTCCATGACGCTTCCCAATTTAGTAACGCAATGGACTATCAGGCATGTGTCCAATGGGAATCAAAATACCATGCCAGCATCACACATACGTTCAGTGATGATAGCAGAGTGGCGTCACTTGTAACATGACTGTGGCGTAACCAGGGTTGGTTGAATGATGTTGATGATGATGAAAGAACATTCACCCCTCCATACTTCCAGGTAAACCCCACCCTCCTCTGTTCTCTCCCTCCGCTATGGGTCATCATAAACCCAAGGGCTCATGTAGTTATGTTTACATGTTATTAAACATAGCAGGTGGACCGTGAAGCATGCAAAGTGTAGACAGTAGTTGGATGAGGCGAATCCAGACGCCCCCAATTTTTGCGACCTCCCTGATCAGAATATCTAGTTTCCTCCGTTATCGTGTGTGATCTACATGACTTGTATGGGGAAGGACTGGGCAGTCCCGGTTGAACGAAGGGCCCACGGGACCGAAATTATAGCCTACTCTACAGTCTTTAATGGTCTAGTTGAGGCCTGCGATTCCGAAAGCCCCCGAGAACAAATTTACAAAAATGTCAGCAGCCAACGGTACAGTCTTCGTCTCGTGGACATTCGTAATATGCATTTCATCAGAAGGCCCACACAAACAAATCTTTAAGGCTTATGGACCTCATCATGAACCGTTAGAAAATGCCAAGACCCAAAATATAGATATGCCGGTCTCATGGCCTCGTGGGCCTTCGGTCTCGCGAACCTTTGGTCAACGGGGCTGTAATCAAGAAATAAAAATGAAAGTGGGGGAGATAGATGTGGTTGGGTGGAAACCCCAGCCCCTCAAACTTAACACTATCACGTACATGTAAACTAATGCATGTACGCATTTTGTTTTGTCGGCGTCAAACTACGATGTTTGGGTTTTAAAAACTACGATGACAGAGTGCAGCTGGAATAAAGCCAGGAACATAAAAGTAGTGGAGAAGAGTGATTCTATGATTTTGAAGCATTCGTGATCCACCCCCTCCCTCTCGTTTGTTTTCTAAAAGTCAGATTTTAGACGTAGTGAACACAAACTTTAAAGGCATCGTTTAACAATGTTAACTCTGAGATTCATGGCTCTTCGTGTTATCAGTGTCTGTGATATGGTGTAATATTGAAGCCCTCAAAAAATTGCGCTTTAAAATGTTCATGAAGTGCCTCAAAATAGTAAACAAATCTTTGAGTGACCGGTTTTACCATACTCATTTTCCTCAATAGATTGTAGTGTTAAAAAAAAACGTTAGCTAATCAGGACTCGGCCTTTTAACAATTCAACCATCAGGTATATTGAACAATCGATTGATTCCATCTTGATAAGCAGACTGGAGTCTTTCTCATAGAACAATAATTATGTCATATTGCGAGGCACTGACACTCAAGTAAACGTCATATTACTAAACCCGACTCCAAAACCAACTCGAAACCGATCGATTGTTGCCATATGATTTGGTTCGATTGTTTGCCATATGATTTGGGTAAAGTAATTTCCTGTTCGGTCTCTAGTCGGTCTGGGGTCGGTCTGATGTCGGTCTCGTTGGTGTGACTGGGTTATGATATTGACATAAATCCCGTTTACATTTTGTGAAACGATCGGGCATTAAATATGTCTACCATTGATGTAAAATGAAACCAGGTCTCTGTTATCGAGTTATGTTTGAAGGTACAATATTTTGAATTGATTTGATTAATTTACGAAACGGAAAGTATGTTACATAAAGATTAAGAAAGATTATACCAAATCTGTGTCAATGAAATATTGAATAGTTGCTGAATCACATCATAATAGCTGTGCAGTATGATTACATGTCTGACAAAATCGGTTATCTAAACTCCTGATACCATAAACCTCACGATCAAAAAACAAATCGTTGCCAAAAGATGAAAGCTAACCTGGGAGAAAATGTTATACTTGCAAAAGAAATTAAAGAATTTTCATTTCTGCCAGATATGTATCATCGGAATGGTTCGTCCAACATCTGCTGTCTTTCCTCGCAAACTGGTTTCGTCCCTCAACTTAATCTAGGTCGGGCCTATGTTTTGGCTTGCCTGCAATTATTAGCTACGGAGCTTTATCTTGTATAACTCAAATTATGGAAACTCACACTCAAGCCTGTTCTCCCCGATATTTCATTTTGTCTCTTTCCTTTTCCATGTCTTATTCCCCAAAGATTCTCTTCTCCCGTAAACCTAAATATGTATACATATAAACTATCTTTATCTAATATTCAGTTATGAACTTATTGTAATACGTCTGACCAAGATTACACCATTACGTAACAGAGTCTCTGTGGCATGAATTAAAGAAAAGTGTTGTCATTAATTGTTATTCATTTAGTTATGTTAGATGTCAACATTATACCTAACCTTTTTTTGTTAGTAACTAATCCAATATATATGAAATTATTGCAATATATCTGAGCAAGATTATACCATTACGTAATGAAGTTCTGGGGCATGAATATTACAAGCTCTGCTTTTTGAAGCATGCCCCTCCGTTTCAAGTTTTATTTCTACACCTTTTAGGGCACTGGCTTTCACCGACTTTCGTCGTTAAACGGGGGCATCCT